GCAGGCTCCCGTATATTCTGTTGTGGTTCAAGTCCAAGCTCGTCAAGCTATCCGGAAACTCCACGCTCGACAGGTTAAACTCCAACATATTCCTGGAGAAGTCGACAACCTGTACCGTCTTATTCTTGCCGAACAAGAACGATATATCGCCCTCGATCCTGTTCCTCTGTAGCTCGATCAATGTGAAGTTCAATTTACCCATAACTCTCGGCACATTCCCCGTGATCTGGTTATGGGACAGGTACAGATACTGCAGGCTCGGGGTCAAATCCCCGAACGAGTCGGGTATTGGGCCCGTGAGCCTGTTCCGGTCCAACCTCAGCCCGTCCAGGTTCCTGAGCTGGGCCAGCTCGGGAGGAATCGGGCCGGTCAGTTGGTTGAACGACAAATCGAGAGACGTGAGGTTTTTTAGGTCGGCAAGGAATGCAGGCACGGGGCCCGAGACGTTGGTCCAGCTGATGGTGAGCGATCTGAGGTTGGTGAGACGGGCGAGGGCCCGGGGGATGGGGCCGGTTAGATTGGTGATCTTGTGGAAGGTGAGGAGCTCGAGGTAGGGGAGGTCGGCCACGGCCGGCGGGATCTGGCCGGAGACATTGGCGGCGAAGAGGTGGAGCTGGTTGATACGGTTGGTCCGNTCGTCGCACTCGACGACGTACCAGGTGCAGCAGTCGGTGGAAGGGTCCCATGAGGCGAGGTGGTAAGGGTTGTTGAAAGCGCGTTTGATTTGCAGGAGAACCTTTTTGTCATGTGGGTTGCATCTCTCGTCGGAGGAGAGGGCGGCGGGAGAGAGGAGGGAGAGGACTATGGCCAGGATTAACGTTGTTGTCTTCATATGGCGTGGTTTGTTTGTGGAGAAGATGATGATCAGTAGTTGATGATATGGGGCAAAAGAACGTGAATATGCGTGATGTATTAATAGGGATAATTGTTTGTTTGTGTGTGTGTGTATAGACGTATAGTGGCGTGTGAAATTAAACAGATTGCCTAACCTATGGGAGCTTGTTTAAAGAATTCAAAATCGATTTTAGCTTAAAGAATTTGTGAGGAGTGGACTTGGTTTTGGGTGGAGAAGTATGGTACTGGGGGAGGGTGAGGTGAGAGGAGTTTGAGACGTGTAAAATAGACTTATTGTTCGACACACTTGTTCTGTCTTTGACTTGGCAAGCGTTGGAACTTAGACTTCGATGCGTGTGGGGTTATCCTAATCCTCAATGGTCAATCATTTTCAATTAAAAATGATCACGTGACGGTGGGATTCACTCGGTCAGACAAGCGATTGTTTTAGGGCGTTACTATTTACCGTCATATTTATTATTACGTATCGTTTCTTTCTAGATCGTTTCGCCCGTGATATTTTTCTCAAAAACGCTTAAAAAATCGTAAATTCTCTGAAACCATGCGATTTTCGGCGAAAATATGTCCGGTGAGAGGTACGATTTTTGCAGGCCGGCGGGCGATTGCGGTTGCTCTCGAAGAAGAAGATGAAGAAAGAGAAGGAGAGGACGACCTCAGAGAAGAAGATAGGAACTCATATGCCCGCCAACAGAGGAATTATCAGAGTCGCTGTGCGAGAACCTAAAAACGAAAGAAAAAAAAGAAATTATATCTAAGGGAGATAAATTCGAATAAAAGGAAACGAGGAACAGGTATATGAAGGACGGACACTGAAACAGAAATCAACATACAATTTACAAGCAAAAAGTAATGATAAAACTTACTCATCGACATGGTTGGATTTGAAAGTTGGTCGTTGTAGGCAATAAATTTCTATGACGGACGACAGATTAACGACAAGGTATAAGACTGCAGAGAGCTTATAACAATAAAATTTTTGCAAAGTGTGAAAAGTGGAAATGAGGGCAAATGAACTTAGGGAAATTTACACACATATACTATGTGTCTCACTTATTTTTAAAATTACAATTCTGTGAGTCTTTTATCAAATATGAAATTCTGTGGATAAGTATTATCATATCTACGATATCGGTTACTTTTCCTAACTTATGCACTCAATTAATCCGATACTTACGCATTTTGAACAGTTTTTTTGTTTTTTGTTTTCCTTTTTCTTTTAAGCTTGTATTAAAATAGAAATTTCAAATATGATACTTACCATTTTGTACGAGATTTTACAAATTAAAATGGAGAAGACGATATTCATCTCCATTTTTTGTTTTGAATTATAGAAAAAAAAAAACGATCGGAGCTATAGCTCCTAAATTAGGCCTTTTTTTTAAAAAAAAAAAAAATTGTCAAGGAAATATGCTTTTTTTTGTGTGTGTAGTTTAAACCACAAAACATACTGCCTAATAACCACCGAATATATTTTAGATATATTGTATATATACATCAGATAAACATGATCGGACAGTTCTCTAATATTAACCGTGTAATTATACATAAGATAAACAACATATAAGCAATTTTGAAACGTTATAAAACATAATACACAATTCTGAATGACTGCAAAATCCAAATCGAATGCAGTTATACATAAGATAAACAATATATAAACAAGTCTGAGATTTATGTTTTTCACATTAAATCTAATGTATATATACGTTATATAAACAACATATAAACATTTCTGTAAAGACATGATAACAGTTGAAAAACACATTTCTGAAAAAGATTTATGTTTTAACATTTCGGTAGAAACATGATAACGAATTCTACACTCAGTTTCACCAATGCACACTACAACTTTAATTGTTTTCCCTTATTTTCCTTCCAGGACAATACCAAAACAACTTATTGAGGTTACAAAATTATCAACTACGTGATTAAGGTTTCTATATAAGGTAATGTAAAGAGAAACCATCACATCAATATGATGCTTGGCTAAGATTCATATACATCCAGTGACACCTGATTGGAGAATAACTTGCTCGTAGTTAGACTGCAATTCAAATATTTGTCATACATTGTAAAAATTATGCTTCACTCGAATTTGGTTCTTAATTGTTTGGAGAGTCAACAATTTTCTCTTTCCCCTTGTTTTCTCGAGCCTTCTTCTTCTTCGTGTGGTCGATCAACTTATTTTCTTCTGGTTAATTTTTATGTTCGGAAACAAAATCATTGCCATCGCCGGCACACACTCGGCGGTCTTCGGATTAGATTTTTTGGCACGGCTCGGGGCCTCCATTTTCTGAAATTGGAGCTTTTTTCTTCACTTTGGAGGATTTGACATCAATTTTTTTTCGCTTTTCCATTCTTCAATTAACTGCAAAGATTAGATAGGTTGTTTTGTGTAACCGATATAAAGTTTTTTTTTTTATAGACGAAGTTTTTTTTCTTTTTTTTTTATAGATGAAGTTCTTTGAGAGAAAATGGCTGATTTCTTTGGTGAAGATGCTAAAATTTTTTGTGATAGATAATGGAGAGATGAAGTTCTTGGAGACATAATGGAGCGATGAAATTATTTATTGGTGGTAAATGGAGTTTACATTATTTAGAAAAAAAAAAGGAGATTTGTTTTCTTATTTTCAGTTGAGTGTAGATGTTGTGGATTGATATGATTCCCGAATATCATGCAAGATTTTAATTGAGTGCATTTATTGATTGTTATTAAAAACTGACTCAAAGGCCATAATTAAATGTAATTATCTAATTAATTGATACTGAGTACGTAATTGTGATGAATAATTTCTGTTATCGTACACTTGATAATATTTTCATAAGCAAGTGTACAGGGGGTAATTTTCTCATGAACTTATTTATAGGAGAAGAAGAGAGATGAACAAGAGGGCGGTAAATCCTAGCCGTCTAATGAAAGGTTAAGTGGACGGGCAGGATGAGAAGTTAAGAAGTTGAAGAGGTGGTTGATTAAAGTCATTCAATCACGGTCGAGATAGACGATTAAGATTAAGAGGGAAAGTGGAAAGGACATGTCGATAACAATTGTCTGATAAAAGTTAGATTGAGTGGTTGGATTGTAAAGGTGAGTTGAAAACATATAGGTCACTTAGGACCGTTCGATTAAAGGTAGTTCGTGTGGACACGATTGAACCACCATTAATAGGCACGATGCACGATGTGTGGAAAAAATACGAGGAATTACATCATGATGATGAGTTGATTTTAAAGGTCGTCATAATTGACATAACAAGATGTCAAAAATTTGAAATTCAAATTTGGAACTTAAAAACTGGGGACCTAGGTCGAAAGGGTCGTTTGGGACAAAAAGCGAACAATTTGGTAAGAGAAGTTGCGAGCTCAATGAGTACGACCAAGTGCAATTGATTATAATCTTAGATCGAGTTATCCTAACTCGACCAGAGTGGGGGGACCAGATGATATAGGATACCATACAAGGTCGAGTATGACCTAATGAGCGCTTTGACTGGACTGAGTGGACTGGACAATTCAACATCAAGGGCATCTGAGGTCGAAGAATCACCGCTTGCATAAGTTCTCTGGATTCTAATGGGCTTTCTTCCCCGATATGCCCTTTCTGGAGGACTGCTAAAGGAGCTCACTAACACGTCGAGCCAAGGCTCTCAGCTAGACTCATAGAAACTCGACCAAGAGAAAGGCAGGTCAGTAATCTGACCTAAGAGATAAAGCATATACGCTAAAGGTTGAATCAACCTGGTTCAAGGAAAGTTGAGTTAATTGCACAATTAGACCATCTAATGAGGTAGACTAATGTGAACACATCACGTAAGAGATAAAAAAGAATATTATTATAACAAGTATTCGATCCGGTGCATTTACACAGATGTAAATAAAGTATTATAAGTTATTTGTATGTATATAATACAAAAATTATAAGTTAGATAATGGTATTATATTTAAAAAAATAGAGTATTATAAGTTAAATTTATTGTTGAAATATCATTTGTGAGTTGTCTTACATTGATTTTACATGGTAAATGAGCATAGTATATAAGCCTAGTGGGCTACTTCTCCCATCACCAATTAGTTTTGGGATAGACCCTCACTAAGGTGCACCTAGGTTCACCCTCTTATGGTGCGCTTCACCTGGTGGGACTGCACTCTCTCCCCCCGGTTCTAATATAGTATCAGAGCGGGTCTATCCTAGGACCTGCAATGACTCCCTCTACTCGACCTGCTCCGGGCTTGGGCTATATATCTCTACATGGCATGCTCTGGGCGTGGTCTTACGAAGGACTCACAAGTAAGGGGGTTGTTAGTGTTATATACTAAAAGCTTGGCTTTGGATGATATTACGATTTTTCTCTTTATAAATGAGAACCATGTTCGATTAAACAAGTTCTATATTATGTTGTTTTGCACTTAGATAGAATGAGTCATCATCGGGTGAACAGAGTATCATTCTATCAGTTACTTGCGAAACAATAATTGTGGTTCACAACCTAGATGGAAATGAACACCCCATCAGAAAGGTTGTAGTGCCAATAGTACAATTGGTCTTCACTGATTAGTTGCACTAGTACATTTATGTATTGAACAGTATCTCAAAAATGAGAATTTCATTTTACTGATCGTCGTAAACGAACTAGGCCTCAGTTAATTAGCGCGATCTCTTAACCCGTAAGATATTAAACAGATATATATGTAGTACATATTACTTTGATTCACTTGGGTGAGGTTGAGTTCGCTGGACTAATATTCTTACTGTTTTGGGTAATATTGTTGTATGTAAGATATGTTGTTAGGATATTTACGGTCACCATGTACGTTAGCTTGATGATGTCCCCGAAGTGAGTTCATGAAGGATTCTTATGCTAAACCCTGCAGGTGGATTAAATTCTGACATAATAATAATGTGATGAACGAGCGTTAACTTTGGAAATATAATATATTAATTAATTCTTGATTGTCAATAATCGAATTAATTAATGAATA